TGAAATGAGAAATATCGTCTGCTACTTTTAAATTTATTCTTCTTTCAAAATGGCGCATGGAAATACTTGTCATGCACTTTTAGAATAGATAGAAAAGCTGGACTCATCATATAAAAAGCATAGAAATCATCTAAAAAGCATATAATAAAACACTTATCATCGGAACGATTTAGTAGCAACTTTTTATCCGACATCTTTGTTACCTAAAACACATAATAATGAAATTTTGAACATTTTTGTATTGAACACTATTTATTTTGGGGGTTTTTAACTTTTGACATACCAATCAATGAAATTCGGACTCAGGTTCCGGTAAAGACCTGGTTATTTGTAGCAATCAAAATCCACTTTAAACTGTCGATAAATTACTTAAAGTGTGGGAAGAAGACCGTGCATTGACAAAACTGCCAATCAGGATAAAGTTTACGGCGAAACTGCATGCACGCATTCTTCCGTCTCTAATTCCCTCTATTTGTTTTGCGATTATGAACTTCATCTTTTGGAGATTATTATAAATAAAATTTTGATTCGCTTTATTAATAAATTTGAATCCCAGTGATCTATTTGAGATATATTACCGGCTAAATCTTTTAAAATATGTTTTCCGATTACTAAATAATAACATTTCCGATTATTTTTATTATCAAATATAAAATCAAAATAGTGTACAAATTTTGACATAACACTGTTATTAAAAGAAAATGACAGAAAATTAATCTAATATATTACTACATAAATGCCCTACAAATAATCCCGTATAAAACCGAAACGCAAAAACTGAAATGAATGGAGCAGATATTTCTAAATTCTTTGGTAGGAAAGAGGCTACCAGAGGCCAAACGGAAAAGTCGCTGAATGCGCTAGTTCGGACCGGGGTTCGAATTCCGGTAAACGGGCTGTTTTCGTGGTTTACCCTAATATGTATACGAGTTAGTTTGCCTTAGAAACTTCTCCATAAAGGCATCCTTCCCCTTAGGCAAGTATCTATGGAATGCTTTGCAATAATCAAAACAAACCAAGCTAACTGGGGAAAAAAAAACAGTATTTCGCAAAAGTATATAATGAAATTTCTATGCTAAAAGCGAATCTGTCTCCTATTGCAACCATTCGTTAAAAAAATTAAACACTAAAAATTATCATCCTTTTAATACTTTTCTTCCTATTAAGTATATAAGCAAACATCAAATGCATGAATAATAAAAATGAATACATTTATCAAAATAAAATCTATATTATTAAAATCTATGCGCGTCTGTTTGTTTGTTTGTGGCATTAACTCCTCCCGAATGGCGGGAAGATGAATTTCAAGAGAGGTACCTCCAGATTCCAAAAATTCATGCGAAGCTATCTGGACCATTCTCGTCTTCGTACAACTTTAATAAGCGGTGATATTAATTCAAAATTCTGGAAACGCTAATTTCCCCCCTCATTTTTCCGCGTCGCAACAGTCTCGCGCGTTGGAGATAAAAATGCTTTATTTCGGAAGGTGTTGCCACTGCTAGCTTTCAAATCAAGGAGTTTATTAATCAAAAACCTGTAAGTTTTACAAAATATGAAATAAAAAAAATTCTGAAAGCTTTCATATTTTACATTATGTTCAAAGGGGCTTTTATTTTACGTTTTGTGCGCTGCCTTTATTTATTAAATATCATGTTCTTCGCACTTAAACCATAAAAGTCAATTCAACAGCATTATCGCAAAATAATTTTAAAATGAGCCAATCTTTAGAATTTCCGATACACAATCTCGCAAGCTGGAGATAAAAATGTTTTTTTTTTCTCTTTTTACTTCCTTGTACGAAAAAAAAAAGGAAGTATTGTAATCGCGAAAAGTTTCAGGCAGCATATTTCAAAGAAAATATCCAATTGGACCGCTATCGAATGCAATTTAACGATGTTTTTGCGTGATATCTGTACGTAAGGACAGAATAAAATACTCTTCTCCTTCAAAAAAAATTATAAAACTGCTTTAAAATGAATTCTGAAGAGAATTTTTCGTGGCGTCTGTACGAACATATGTACGTACGTACGTACGTATCTCGCATAACTCAAAAACAAGTAGCCTCAGAACGTTGAAATTTTGCATATAGGACTGCTATAACATGTAGATGTGCACCTCATATTTTGGTTGCAATCGGCCGCACCAAACGTATATAAATATATTTATATATATATCCATTCTGTTACCCGGCTCAGTGATCTCAGTTTCTTTACTCTTATATGTTTGTAAATTGTACACTTTTTGCTTTAAAAATGATTGGATTATGTTGTTTTCATCTTCCGGTTAAGGTTTTTATGCCTTGAGTAAACCTGTATGCAATATTTTTAGACTTATCAACAATTTTAAAGTTGTCTAAGTGCCACTAAGGCCTTTTTTTTTATGGCGGCCATTGAAGTTTACATTTGAAACAGGAGACTAGTGGATTTGTTGCCAATCTAGAGAAACTTAGCTTCGCAACAACAAAGATAACGCAACAACAAAGATTCATTTATTATTGCCAATTAAATCATGCTTAATTCTTTCTGGAATTTTTTCGAGGAAATAAGTGTTTAAGATTTACTTCGTAATTTTTAATATAGATATTTTGAGATTTTATGTATTTTTGCCTTCTCGCGAAGTGAGAACTGAATTAATTAAATGAGAAATACTCAATCGTCTGTGAAAAACTGTTTCTTTTTTGTTTTGTTTGCTTAATTTCTTTTATACATCCTTCTAGCTTTATTATAGTATTTGAATAGAACATGTGGCAACGATTAGATAATTCTATTCTTTAAATGAAATAAATTTTGTGCATTATGAGTTATAATATGAACGAAATATATAAGTTAACTGTTATATAATTATTGGATTATATAACTGTTAACTTGGTTTCCGTTATATAATTATTATATAAGTTAACTGTTATATAACTATTAATACTGTTAAGTGAATCTAGCGCCAGAGTGTCTCTATGGTAAACAAATACGAGAGTGAATTTTAAAGAATGCATTTATTCTATTGTGGTTTATGCGCTGTCGGCGAAGTAGATTTAATTCAATCCAATAAGTTTAAATGAAATGCAAGAAAAAATGCGTATAATTTAATATTACGTACAAGGAAGTCATGTGGTGTACACATCAGATTTTTTATTATATATATATATAATTTGTTTTACTATATATCGTTACTTAAATAATTATTTCCAGCTTAAGCGGTGACATCAGCATCTTGATTAATATAATAAGAAAGGCGAAGAGAAAAACGTGACGAAGAAAAAGATAGGCGAAGAGAGAAAAAAAAAAATGCGTATGGAGTGGACTATTCAGCTAACGATTGTTCACAAGTAATGCTTTCGAAAATGAAAATAATTAAAAAAGAATCTAACAGAGATCATTGAACAGACAAAGAAACTTTAGTTCTCTCCATGCGCTGGACGATTTATGTTTAGCAATCAGAAAACTTATTTCTCCAGACATTTATGAACATTTATATTAACTCGCACGCTCAACGAGTTAATATAAAAAAAAATAATTCTAAATAGATCATTGAGAATTGAAAACAAAGTTTGAACGATATATAAGACAAAAATAGGTTGGTTGTTCATGCTGAATAAAAACATTATTCGATTCATTGGAGAATCGGTTGCTTACTACTTTTTTAAATAAAACGTTAGATTCCATATAAAGATATGATAATACAAACAGTGTTTTATTTCTAGTTCCTGTTCCTAACTTTATTCCTTTCCCATAGAACAAATGATAAAATGCTAGAATTAAAAAAAAAAAAAAAAAAAAAAAAAAAAAAATTAAATGAGTATATGGTAAAAAAACTAAACTATTCTTTTTTAACCCAGGAGAATAAGCCTTCTTTTCTCCCCTAAAATGGGCCCACCAGCGGCCGAGCGGTAAAGTCGCTGAACACTGGTAGTTCGGTCCGAGGTTCGAATCCCGCGAACGGGCTGGCTGCATGGGCGTTTTCGTGGTTTTCCCCATGTGTAACGTGTATACGAGCCAGTTTCCCTTAGAAAGTCCTCCACGAAGACATCCCTCCTCTTAGGCAGATAGCCCTCGAGGCTTTGCCATAATCACACACACACACTCCCCTAAAATGGGAATTGAACTTTCCTACCATGCTTCCCAACTTTTTTTGAGGAATACGTATTCTTTTCCTCAATAAAGTGAATTGGTTCCTTGAATTAGATTCCTCACTAGTAATCTCTAATATACACTCGTCAGGACTTAATTTCTAAGATTAGAAATGCCGGAGCTCTATGGAAGATCGTTTATTCTCAAATTAATTAATAGATATTTAATTAATGTTTATAAATTGTTTTTAATCAATGATTACTATATAATTCATGAATTATAATTTAATTGATAATTACTAGATAATTAATTATTATTTATTGAAATAATTAAAGCTTGAAGTAATGAACTAATTAAATTAACTAAAATGTAAAGAGATAAATTGAAATTTAATATAATTTTATTGTTATAATAAAATTTTGGAGATAAAATATCTACTGAAATTGTTATTCAATTACATAAAAGAAGTGCCGCAGCCTTCTTATTCAGGGCTCCGGTGCGTTCCGGCTAGAATTATGATTTATTACAAAATCTAAGAAGCACCGGAGCCAAGATCCGGTGGGTTCCGGCCGAATTTAAGTTCTGATCGTACGGAGGGGGAAGTTATTTTAGCATCACAAAAATTAAATATACTTAAAGTATAGCTGATGAAAATTCCGGGCGAAAAAGAATGAAGGTATGAATGGGTGGAAACAAAAAGTGAGGGGAATCTTTGTGAGAAAGAACGTTTTCTTTGACCGCGGCTCTCTGTTGATATAATTATAGCCATCATGCAGATGGGTGTTAGGGGTAAATGAGTCCTGAATCGGACTCCTATATGTAAAGTTAGTGTAGGCAAAATGGCACGTTAAAAGTAACTATTTTAAAATTTGCAAGAAAAAGCATGCAAAAATATACAGCAGTGAAAGTATATAAATAGGATGACCCAAAACATACTTGCGAGTAATGTGCTCACAACGAAGACCAAGCAAATGTGTTTCATGATACTGGCTATGTCGTTTCTTGTCCATCCATTATTGAGCATCACGAGAACGCTACCTCATCTCTCCATCTAAAAAAGAAAAAAAGATAAAAAGATAAATAAGTAAATAAATAAACAAATAAAATCTGAAACGATTCAGATTTTAAATTACGTCCAAAGCGGCGTTTTTTTTTAAACGTTTATTGTGTTATCTTTATTTATTAAATACAGAGGCTGTTCGCACATTTTTTAGACGATTTTGGTAAGCGGTAATAAAAAAATCGTTTGCTGCAAAAGAAGTAATTGCAATTGTACTATGTTTTTAAAAGTCAAAATTATCGTCTGTGGCTTGAAAGTTTTGGTTTTATTCAAAATGGCGAATTTAACAAAGCAGCGGTTCGAGACTACATTTACGCTCTTTCCGAAGAGAAATATGCATACTCCGTTATCCAAAAACGATGCGAGAGTCATGGTTTTGCGATATCTAAAGCGTCGATAGGTAATATCATCAACAAGAAAGGAAACAAACGTCAAATTGGAGCGTCAAGTGGGACAAAAATTCCAAACATGTATCCAAGGAAAAAACGGACATCTTCGATTATAGCAAAGGTACGTTGTTTAACGTTAAAAGAAAATCCCCCTAGTCTAAGGACAGTTGCAAAATCATTAAAATGCTCGGTGTCCACTGTAAACAAAATAAAAAACGTTGATTTAAATCTTAAGAAAGCGAAAAAACGCAATGTGCATCGTCTTCTTCCGAAGCATATCGCTCAACGCAGGACACGCTGCAGAATTCTATTTGAGAAACACTTATCCAAAGAAAAATGGAAAACAATTGTCACAATAGATGAAGCATGGGTGTATTTAAATGACTGTAACAAAAAAAAAAGAGTTATTTATTATCATAAAAGGGGAGAAAAAAATTTAAGTACATGGTTCAAAGAATCGGAAGAAAGTTTTTCTAAGGTATTCATGATTGTTGCTGGTTTTTCTTATAATGGCAAGTTAAAAATAAAGAGAGTCCAAAAAAATGTCAAGATTAACTGCAAATACTCTCAGGAACATATTTTATCGCCATTTTTCTGAATGAAATGCCATCGCTTTACCCAAAGTGCCATCTATCTGTGAGACTCCATCAGGACAAAGCTAGCAGTCACACATCAAAATCCACTGTAAATTTCCTAAAAGAAATGGAACAAAAAAAAAAAAAAATGGTATCAATGCCAACCCTTCACTGATATCCCTACTAAATCTCCCGATGTGTCACCTATGGATTTTTGTGCTTTCGGACTTTTAAAAACTGCATTATCCAAACGTCGTCCCAAAACCCTAACAGGTCTGTGGAAAACTGTTCGGGAGGAATGGGATAGAATACTTCTTCTGCCACTTCAAAAGGCATTTATTATCCTGGAAATTGCGGTGTCGAAAGATAGTTCAGAATAAGGAATGTCAAAATAGAACATTTAAAACACAAGAATTTTATGTAATTTAGTTTTGTGAATACAATATACATCGTCTAAAAAATGTGTGAACAGCCTCTGTATCATGTTCTTCGCACTTTAAACCATAAAATTCGATTCAACAGCAAAATCGTAAAATATTAAAAAACAGCCTATCTTTAGAATTTCCGATAGAGAGTATCGCTCGCTGGTGATAAAGCTCACTGTATTTATTGTATTTATTGTACTCTTGAACTGAATTGTATTGTTTAAGTGCGAGGTACATGATATTTAATAAATAAAGTCAACACACAAAATGTTAAAAAAGACGGACGTAGTTTAAAATCAGGACCTTTCAGATATTTTATCTTCTTTTCCCTGAAATAAGATTTCCGTTTTTGCCCATTCGAGGAAGTTCATTAGTTTGAAAATAATATTCAAAAGCTGTAGAAATTCTTCCTTATTAAAGTACAAAATAAAATAAAAGAACCTTTCTCTGTGCGATTACGTTTTGTTATTTCTTGAAAATTAGTTTTCAATTAAAAGCATTTCATTTGATTTTGAGTTCATTTCCATATTATCATTTATTAGTAACTATTGGATGCAATCTTTTAAATGCGTCTGCAATCCGTGTTAAGTTGAGACTCCTGGTGATCGAACAGATAAGGTCTCTACGAGCTGATAGTTCGAACAGAAGCCAAGTCCCAGCGAATGGCTGGATCCATAGCAGTTTTTGAGGTTTTCCTCACATGTAAAATGTCAGTGTGGCCTTAATGAACCGTCCAAAACGAAGTTCCCCTAAACAGAGATTCGTGGTGTGCTTTGCCTTAATAAATTACCCTTGTCTTGTTAAAATATCAAGTTATTGTTTTTATTACAATCATTAGAATTTAATAACGAAAATTGGTAGTATTGCGCTTAACAGTTTAAATGAAAAAAAATATTATATGTCTTCACGAATTATATCTGTATTAAATGGTTATTAAACTAGAAGAAATTCTCTCGGATTTGCGCTTTTTATTGCTTTAAATTATTCCATTCTTATACAATCTCTTCTAACCATCTTTGAAGAAATGTTTTAAAACTGTTCGTGTATATCATAAGTAACATAAAAAGGTTGCTTAGCGTTTGTGTATCAACTTATTAATATTTTTTTAGAAAATATTAAAATTTCTAAATGTTATTAAAGATGTAAAAAACGTTTTCAATTACACTGCAGAAAAATTGAAGCAGAAACGTATTCGCATCGAAATTAAATCTAAATAACGTTTTTAAGGTGTTAATTGGCTTTTGACAAAATAACAGCAAGTAATTAGAATTCATAAGGGGGGAGGAGTTATGTCACCTTTAAATTTATCGAGTTAAAATTTAACTTAATTTCAAAATTAGTATTTTCGGAAAGTAAAAAATTTTCCCGACTTAACTTCTTGATTATAAATTTTTTGCGCAGGTATATTGATTCATTTTCTTTTCTCCAATGTAAACTCTTTGCTCTTACGTTGAAATAAAAGCGTGCTATTTAATTAAAATTTTAGAACGAATCAAGAACTCAGAGATATGCTGCCTAGAAAATCTCCAATATTCAATAATATTCAAGTAATTTTCAATAATATTCAATTCAATTCTCAATAATATTCAGGTAAATTTTCCAGTTTGTAAACTAACTATTCATAGAAATGAGCTGATTAGGATTTTAGTCAGGAATTAGGAGGGTCATTAGGAAAGTCAGATAAAAAGGAAAATCAACTGTGCTCTCCGCGGTATTTGAGCCACGAATAATTACTACCTGGACGTGTTACCATTTACACAAGACAACACGCGAGGAGGATCTGTAATTTTTACAAAATAAAATAAAATTTGATGTATTGTCTTTTACAGTGAATGAAACTGTTACCTAAACAAGTAGACTATCATCTAAATATGCAGATAAATGTCTTCTAGTGTCCGTCTTTTCTGGAATATTAAAAATAGCATTTTCGCTATTGCAGTTATTTCGAGTTACAAGCGTTAAATTATTATTATTATTACTGCATAGCCTATAGGCCCAATGATTGCACGGATATTAACTATCAGACAAGTCTGTAAGGTCCACTAGTTATTACGGGTCAGTGATACTTTGCACCCGTTTCAGACAAAAGGTGTTGTGAAGAAAGAAAAACGAATTCTGCTCAGAACGCAAACAGCTCAGGACTTCCGCCATTTTAATTGCCAATTAGAAGATGTGTCCATTTAGTATTCCATGGCCAGATCACAACATAGCATTTGTGGAAGATTTTTCGCAATCATATCTAGATAAGAAAAGGAAATAAAGAAGATCTGATATTAACACTTCATGATTTCCTTGTATGCCCTGATAAATTATACCCATTTTTGCTGCACTACATTTAAACTTATTTTCTTGTTCAGTTAATTCAGTTCTCACGTTTGCGACAAAGCAAAAATACATAAAAACTCAAAGCATCTTCATTAAAAATTGTAAAATACATAAAAAAATGAAACATTAAATACAGTAAAATACAGTTTAAAAAACAATTTTAACAATTAAAATTAGAGGTTTTACTCCAAAACAAATAATTCGGCCAACGGAAGGAAAACAAAATTTGTGGTGTAGAAAACTAAAAGTTAACTTTTGGTACCACTTGGCAAAAGTTGGTGCATCGTCTGACTTAATTCACTATTCTACTAAGAGTTTCAAATGTAAACAAATAGCGGCCTCGTCAGGCCTAATGCCACTTAAAATTTTAAATTGTTGTGTGAGTGGGAGTGTATTTTTAAAGATACACAATCTGTGTTAATCTGTATTTTAATCTTTTGTTTTTAATCTTTTAACTTTTTTTTTTTTTTTTTTTTTCGTCGAGTACGCTGCGTTAACCATGAGGCCGATTATTATCGGCCAGGAAGGTTGCAGCATACTCGTAAACTAAACCAAACTAAACATCGCCTAGGTATTCTACAGAATGCCAAATGACAAACCAGTAAATTATAAAATACATGCCCAATTCATTTCTAATATCCATACATTTAATATTTTCATGCATAATCCATAAATACATTTATGCAAAATTCATACATTTAATCCATAATTCCATACGTTTAATATATTTACTCCATAATTCCATACATTTCAGTATTCTTTAATAACAAAGGCATAAATTTCGTTCCCTCCAACTTTCATTTTTCTTTACGCATTTTCAATGAAAGATTTTTAATGGTACTCTTTCATTATTTTTCAAATAAGATTTGTACTTTTGAAGAATGCACATCTTTTACACACCTTTAGCATCCCATTTTTTTCATACTTTCCCAAAATAGCATTTCTCCTTCTATAGAATGCCTAGCTATAATATGCAGTGCCTAGGAAACGTACATAATAATTCTCAAGTTTCACACTTGACTAAAAACGCCGGGAATTCTGTAAAATGTCTAGATATTCTATAGAGCGCTAGAGTTTCATATATTGTCGATAACATGTTAAAAACGTGCTAAAGTCTAGATGCATCGTTAAAAACATACAGTTAAAGTAGAAGAGGTGTTTATTATCAAGGATGTACGAAAGAAATCTAATTAATGTTCCCAAATAACAGTAGTTAAAATAGAAATGGAAATATTTTAAGCAAATATAAAAAAAAAACCTTTTGAGGCAGAACAGGC